ATAATATGTAATATAATATTATAATTTGATAATTTATAAAATTATTAATCTTAATTATTTTAGATTTATTATAATTTTACTTAAAATTATTTTAATAATTTAAATCAGACTTGAACTCAAACTTAAGAAAAATTTTTCAAATTTATTTTAAATATAAATTCAAATTCAATTTAAATTTAATTCAAATTTTAAAATCTGACTTGAATTTAATAAAAAATCTAATTTATAATTTAATTAGAAATATTATTTTGAATTGATTTAAGAATTAATTCTGAAAGTATATAAAATAATAATTATAATAAAAAAGAATATATAATAAAATTATAACTTAATTTAATTTAATAAACTAATTAAAAAACTATTTTTAATTTTTTTGTTTGTTTTTTTTAACTTCTTAATTTTATATAATAATATAAATCTAATAGAAACTTTATTAATAATTCATTTTTATATATTTAAATTATTCTGACTAATTTAATTATGTTATTATAAGTGTTATAAAAAGTTTATCTTGTATTATAAATGATCACATGCTTGGAAAATCTCATCCATATTTCCAGAAATCTATGCTCATGCAAACTGATATTTTAATTTTATAATTATAATAATGTACTGTACACGAGTTAATTTTATTACTGATGAATTAATTGATTAGGATTAATACATTTTTGCAAAATATGCATTCATAAAAAAGGAATTGTTAATTTTTATACAAATAAAATAGGATAATCATAATATCGAATGACTTGGTTCATTTAACTGCTATAATTGATTGCAATTTTAGCTTTTCTTCTTGGTTGAAACTTTTTTCAATGATCTGAAGGAAATTATTAATGTTTTGAGAAGCGCAATGTCGAAAAAAATTAATGAGGTATTCCTAAAATTAGGATAACAAATATACATGAGATAGTATAGTATATGTTGTAAAAATCCAAATATTAAATCTTAAGGCTTACTTTGATACTCATTTGATAGATAGGATCGTTTTGAATATCTAAATCGTTTTCTACATCATCTAAATCCACCGACTTATCTAATAATCCTAAAAAAACAATAATACAGTATAATTGATTTTATGAATGTCATCCAAAAAATTAGTATAGTATATACCTAAAAATCGATAATCATCGGCCGGTGCAAAAGAAGATAATTCGTCAACATCTTCCCATTCGCCATCCTTCGAGTTAATTTAAAATAATCAGTAATTTATCATAATTTATATTTCAAAGAAAATCGAGTACAATAAAACTCACGTCATCAGAAGAATCGACGGCTTCCTCCTCATCCTCTTGGTATTCGTTTTCTGGCTTTTTTAGATTATCGACCTCAATAGCATTCTGCAAGTCAGAAAACAGTAATTTTATAATCTTTTCGGTTGCTGGTATGGAAGTGTATTTGTCAGGATCTTTCAAGAATAGATTTATATCGAGTTAGTAGGAATACGATGAAAAGGTGCGATAATTTATTAATTCATTACTTTGACGTGTTTGAGAACGTGTCATTATTCCTATTAAAAAAAATTAAGTTTGCCATATTACGAAAGGAAAAGATATACAATAACGTAATTTTATTCATGAAATACTTGTTGAGTTTGAAATTATTAAATCTCCTCTGACTTGAATATTTTGTATCCTAGGATCGCCGGATAAAAATAACTTTGATAAAGCCATCGCACTATCAAAAAACCAATTAATATTTCATTTATCACTAATTTATTAAAAATAAATAGAATAAAGAGATAATACCTAATTTTTGAACTATAAAATCCGTGAAAATCTTCGTAATTTTCAAACCAAGTTTTTAGTAATATTTCAAGGCCAGCACGTCCATTTACGTTAAATTCACTCAGAAAATTGACAACTGTTTCGAGTTGACTGTTAAACAAATGTGCGAATATCATAACCATTGACTAATAAAATTAAGAATATTTAGATAAAATGTTAAAATTGCATAAAAATCACAAATTA